AATATTGCGAAAAGTAAAAAACAATTAGGTAAAATAAAGTAAACGAAGATAGCGAACAGTAAAATGAAAGTGTTCGTTTGTTAAAAATTACATTCTTTATTTAAAAACTATTATTAAATATTATTCAATATTTTATAACATTTTCCTCTATCTGCAGAGAAACAGGATTTTTTTGCAAGATACCACTAAACATCGCTTACTAGACCGGTGATACATATAATAATAAATACATAATATCTTGGAAACAGTAAAGTTGAAAATACGTAGAATATCATATATTCGAATAACCCTTTTGATCTTTTCAATGGTCTGGTTCCATTAAAAATAATTAATTAATTGAGATTGAGGCCTCTCTTGTTTTCGTACTACGTGTGTCAAAAATGATTTTAAAATCCCCACAACTTTTATTCTTAAGTTTTTTTTCGTATCTAGGACAATAACGAAAAAAAAGGAGGAACAAGGCCTTATTATTTCTTCTGAAATATGCTGAAATCTTTAGTAGTGCAAATTATCATAGATAGTGTCCTGAAAACATCGAAAAGTTCAAGCATCACATTGGAAGCAGTTTGAGTGTTCTTAGAAAGAAAGAAAATTTGAAGAAAAATACATCCATCTGTCAATTGGGACCATAGAAATTTAAACCTATGGATCATTTCCAATGTTGCTGAGAAGTTGGAGAAAGACCGATATCTGGAGGCATCTGTCTTCCTCAATACCAAATTTCCATTGTAAAAAGCTGACTTTGATCTTGACCTGCTGTTGTATATTAATATAAAAAAAAACACAAACACAAGGTTAGTAAAAAATATTGTCAAAAATAAATTTCCTATTTTAAATTAAAATTTTATTCTAGAACAAGACTCTATGCTTGAGAACTCCATATAAATGTTGACCCTTTCTGTTTTAAAATAAAATAGCGAAGTGATTTTTCGGTTAAAGAAAATATAGAGTAATTCTTTTTATTTCTGTTATTTCAGATTATTTAAAATACTTATTCCAGAGAGGGGTCGGAATGTGAAAACAGGTCGTTGTTTCTAACAGTAAATCCTACGTGATGTAAGGACTCCTCTGTACGATTTTTAAAAAATCATCCCATAGGAAGTAATGAATATCCCAATGGACAAAAGTTGCAGCCCAGGCAAAAGAGCCAAAAAAATAAAAATCAATAACCATTCAAACAGCGCAGTCTCCAGTTTGGCCAAATCTGGAGTTGGAGAACACAAAATCACTAAAATCACGAGCCATTTAAACATTTCTTTTCTTAAGCCGTATTTGCGAGTAGACCCTGTAATATACACAGTAACGGCATTAACGCCTAATCCTATATTTATGAATTATTTTTCTAACACTGCTGATTCTACCATTTAAAAAGACTATTGTATAAAAACGAATTGAAGTATATGCCTGTTTTATTATTTTTTAGACTTACTCTACAGCGTGAGTCAGTTTTTTGTGGTAGGACTTTAACAGTTGATAGAGATTCATTTTTTAATAAGAGAAGTTCCTATAAACGTAGGTCTTAGAACGCTTCGTTTGTGAGATATAGGGATATAAACCAGCAGATATTAAACTGAAATTTGGCATGTAAAAACAAACACAGAACTTAGAAAAAGAACTAATTGACACACACGTTACACAATGTTTGCGTTCTTATGTCAACGTTATGACATTTAATCCTTTTTGTTGATTTTCAGGGTAGGTACATCATATTTTTCTTATTACAAATGTATTACCAATATCGTTGGAACAGTTTCATGCCAAAGGAATTTAACCAAAAACCGTTCATTTTGTAAAAAATTGAAAGAGAGCTGTTTTGTTCAGAATGGATTAAAAAATTTAGAAATTATGTTATTTTCCAGAAAAACCCATGGGCGTACGAATTATTTTTTTAAAGGGAGCAGTAACCCACCTCAGGCACGTCACTGGTGTGTGAAATGGATAACAGAAATCTTTGTTTTATTCATCATAACTAATATGTTATTAATACCAAATTTCAGTTCAATATATGTTGGTCTTTTAGAGATATTAAGAAAAATTCTTAAAAAAAGTTTGTTTTCAACACCCTATATCTCACAAACGAAGCGTTCTAAGACCTACGTTTATAGGAACTTTTCTTATTAAAAAATGATTCTCTATCAACTGTTAAAATCCTACTACAAAAAATTGACTCACCCTGTATATTTCATTTTGACTTAAAATTAAACTTTATAAAAAAAAATCTGCGTGCTTATAGTTATTTATCATTATTCATTTGCCTTTAATTGGATCATTATCATTTTCCTTTAATTGGATCAAAATTTTCAAGCGAGTCGACGTCATTTTCTGAAGAAATTAGTTTATGAAATCAATGAAAAATTAGCTCTATCTAAAATCGTCTCAAAATTCCCTGTACAATCTAGCCGGTAATCCGGAAAACACGCAAACTTTTTTTAATCAATAACTTTTGAGCAAAATTATTATTACAGATTCTTTTATTATTTTTCATATTTAACTTGTGAGTAGAAAGCAAAACATCAGAGCAGATTTGTATCATATATCTACGTGTGATTACAGAAAATTTGTCCATTTATCACTCCCATAGTAATATATTTTAAATGTCACAATTTTACAAGTTGACATGCATACGTAGATTTAATATTATAAATCTAAAAATGAAATTTTACCGCCATGCAGTGTAACACTTTATAGTGATTGCAGAAATATTACATACCATTGGTTTTTGTAACAACACCCTATTTTCTAATTGAGCAATATTATATTTTGTAGTAAGTCAAAATCGATAACATTTCAGGAACTATTAAATATAGAAGCAAACTGATGACAGGTTCGTCATTCATTTAACGTAGAATCGATTGATGATATTAGTTACATTAGTACATTAGTTTGCTAATGAAACTATTAGGCGAACTTACATTCGTTCAAAATTTCCAATATGTCATGGGTAGGGGTGAGATAATCTACAAAATATCATATCTTAACTGTCACTACTATTAAAGCTATTCAGTGTCTATTGATAAACATTACACAAACATGCCTACAACAATAGAATCTCCCGACAAGTGCGTGCCGAAATTCGATTTTTTCATGCTGAAGGGTGCAATGCAGCCGAAATTCATCGACGAATGAGTAATGTATACGGCGAAATTTTCATGAGTGACAGCAAAGTGTGGCAATGGTACAGGAACTTCTTGATGCAGGCGGCCAGAGAAGGAAACGAGTGAATCAGGTGAATCGAGAAAATCGTCGGTTCACAATTTCTATGTTGGGTGATTCGTTTTCCGAAATTTCAAGGTCAGCTCTGTATACCATCGTGAGTGAGAGATTTCAGCACCACAGACAGTGTGCGAAATGGGTTCCCAAGATGCTGTCCGACCATAACAAAACATAGTGAATGGGCGCTACCACGATGAAGGAGAAAATTTTTTAACAAAATTGTCACAGGAAATGAGACATTGGTCTATTTCGAAAATTTAGAAACAAAAGAGCAATCCAAACAGTGAATACATTATCATTCCCCGAGTAAACCAAAGAGGTGCAAGCGAACCTTACAGTGTATGGCTACTGAGTTCTGGGACCGAAAAGGAGTTCTCTTGGTACGACCATCACTGCTACGAAGGGGAATTGATTATAAACGAAGAAGAGTGTTGTCTTCAAGCATTGTCCTTCTTTATGACAGTGCTCGGCCGCACACTGCAGCTGCAACAAAGACGCTCCTGCAGCGTTTTCGATGGATAGATATACAGCCCGGAGTTGGCTCCCTCTGATTTTCATCTCTTTGCTCACATAAAACGCTGGCTGCGAAATAGCTTTTTGCACAAACAAAGAACTGCAGACCAGCGTAGAAAACTGGCTGAAAGCACAGGCGTCTGCCTTCTATGATGAAGATATTGGAAAGCCGCTAGGACTCATATCCAAGTCGGAGCTGCGACTATCTAGAGAAGTAGCTGGAAATATTAAACCCTCAACATTTTTCAAAGTGTAACTAAATGTTGCAAATAAATCATTTTCGATTTTCACTGCCCTTTTAATTTCGCGCCCGATTGGATCTTGAAAAAAATTGCCCTCGTACATAATGCTGGTGTAATTCAATGCTGGATGGGGCTGTAATTCGCAGAGTACTTAATTTGGTTATTTTGATGCAAAATATTGCTTACATTTCAAAATGAACAAATGCAATGCTGTACCTTCGATATACCTATTTGTTTATCGTATTAATAAAATATGAGTAGGTGTGGTTACGATTTGAGATAAAATTTATATGTATACATTTTTGAAATACATGATATAATATAAAATGGAAAGAGTGTTGTTAAAAGACACAGAAATGGACATAAAATCGTTCATAAATTTTTTACTGTGATGTAAAATGGTCCCATAAAGTTCATTTCATTTAGGAACGCTATGCTGTATTAGACAAAGTTCGTATTTATATTCCCCTATCAAATATAAATAAATATTTAAGGTAATGTATATGAATACCCCAGAGTAAAATATGTCCCGATATAGGCATATAAGTTTGGACAACGCATCGCATTGAAAGTTACTGAAAGAAAGATTCATGACATTTTCCGATGCCTACGCATTCATTCTATATTTTAAAAGCTCATTATTTTGTCTTAATGCATTGGAAATAGAAAGCTACATTAATGGTTGGTTTATAAAAAAGTATTAGTCCTAACTTAGCCGTAACTTAACCTTAATCTTAGTCCTAAAAAGTTAAATGTACAGAATGTAATGTATCGGTTTATAAAAATCTTAACCTTGCCCTAGTCCTAGGAGGTCTTTAGACATGACCTTGAAAGTTCGCATCTTTTAATTTTTCTAGGATTAAGACTAAGATCTGAGAAGTGCGCATGCACAAGTATTGCATTTCGTAGCATAGTGGTCTCCTGTCTTTGTCTATGGTGGTTGCCATTACGCCATTACTTGTTCTTATCTATGGTCGCCATTATGTCATTGTGTTTGTGTGGAAGATTTTGTGTGAAATTATTTGTTTAAATATGGATAAAAAGTTTGACGACTATCAATTGATCGAACTTATAAGACAATATAGTGTACTGTGGAATAAAAGACATTGTAATCATAAAAATAAGTTGCAAATAGAAAATGCCTGGGCGACCATCGCCAGCATTATGATGACTTCAGGTACTTTATAAATTATAATTGAAGAAAAAATACATGTGCTTATTATTACTTATATTTCAGCGGAGAATTGTGAGCAGCGTTGGAACAATATCAGGCATCGCTTTGCAGAAGAGAGACGCTTATCGCAGAGGCCATCTGGTTCCGAAGCGTACAGTATTACATGGCCTCTGTATAAATACTGCACATTCCTGGAAGATATAGTAGTGAGTAGAAAGTAAGTAGATATTTGACAAGGTATTCAAGAATTTTTTATTTATTTTTTATAAATATTTTATAAATAATAATTTTTATTGTATTAATTATAATTTTTTGTTATAGGACGGTAGGAAATATACCAAAAAATTCACCAAACATTTTACAACCAGCAGAAGCTGGAAGTTCCTTGTGGAATGATTCCATAGTAACGGATGATATCACTGACTCCCCGTTGCCTATTGACACGGAAGTATCTGCCACGGAACCTTTACCGGATGATAGTAGTGACACCACTAGGCCATCGTCGGCATTGGCATCGACAAGTACCAGTCGAGCAAGTCAAGTAATTGTAAGACAAACTCCAAAACGCAAGAGAGATGAAAAGATGTCGGAGTTGGCAGACCTGACACAAAGCATTAGTAATGCTTTCAATAAATTAGGAGCAACCAGTCAGTCAAATGAAATGGAGAATGAGGAGATAGTGTTTGGGAGGGCGGTTGGACTCTGCTTAAAGTCTATCAAAAAGAAAAAAGCCAGAGCACTAACAAAAGCTAAAATAATGCAAATAATCGCAGAGGCAACAAGTATTGATGAAGATTAATGGTTTTCATAACCCATATTTATATTATTTCTCTTATCATTATACTTATTATTTATTTCTATACAAGGTGTTTCATTTCCGCCGTAACAAACGAACACAAATGATAAAGTAATTTTAAGCAAAAAAGATCCTGTTGACTTGTCCGAAAGTGCCCCCTTGTGGTGCTACGCCCCTTTAAAGGGGGCCATTAAGACACAATTTTATTACAATATCTTGGAAATACTTCCAAATAAATTGATACAATTTATTACATATCATATATTCTCCAATAAAAATATTTGAATTAAAACTTTTATCCTACAAATATAGGTACTTTTTTTTAAATCTAAACGTAATATATTACTAAGAAATATTTTAATATTGATTTCAGACAATTTTTTTTTCTTTTATAACTGAAATGGTATTTCTAATTTTTATTTTATAACTACAAATTAAAAAAATACGAAACAAAAAGTGCTATAATACATTCCGATTGTTATAAAAAAATTCCAGTGGTTATAAAAAAAATGTATATTAATAAACTCATAAGTTTTATCTATAAAAGATATAGAACAAAAAATATTAAAAAACTGGACGAGAAAAATGTAAGATTATATAAAATACACTGAACATGTACATAGAGTCCTATGTGCTGATCAAAGTGTCAAGAGACACTTGATGTATTTTAATATTTAACTATGAGCTCTGTTATCACACAGACAGGCAGACGTTAGATTGGTAGTTCAGATTATAGAAGACAGGAGTTCGTATTATGAGTATGATTTTCCACAGTTAGGTTATATGGATTACAGGGGACTTTGACAGATTATAGGGGGTACGGATTATTCAGACATTACTGTTTATAAATCAAATAAGTCTCAAAATGTACTTCTTTTTGGTATGTTATTCAGGAAGTGACCCCCGCGACACGTATTCCCACTGCCATGGTAAGCAACCTTCTTTTGATAAGAAATATTCTTGCAGCATGTTTCGAGCTTCCTTTGAACATTGGCTGGCATTATTGGAACTTAACCTCCCTACTGAGCGTAAATTACATGGAACATTATTCCATGTTCCCGCATGAAGTACTCCATTTTCGTCTATGTAATCGCGACGTCCCATTCCACAATATTTACTTTCAGAAGCTGGTATATCCATTTCACCTCTTTGGATAAAGTTGTGTATTACAATTGTGGCTTTTGTTATGTTTTCACATAAATGTATATTGGCTATTATTGGCCTACGAAGAATACGCCACCTTTGAACTAATATGCCAAATGTATTTTCGATTGTACGTCTGGCTCGTGACAAACGATAATTAAAAATATTTTTTGCATCTCCTAATTGATGACCGGGATATGGTCTCATAATATTTTTATGTAATGGAAATGCCTGATCAGCAACAAAAAAATGTTCCATTTTTATAGTTGAATTTGGCAAATTTTGAGCATTTGGTAAATTTAACTGTCCATTAAACATTGCCATGCCAAATCCACTTTCCTGGAATACAACACTATCATGGTTAGAGCCCGCTCCTCCAATATCAACTAATACAAAACGGTAATAAGCATCACAAGTAGCCATTAATACCAAGCTAAATCCTTTTTTATAATTAAAAAATTCTGAACCAGAATAATTTGGTGCCTGAATATGTATATGTTTGCCGTCAACAGCTCCTACACAATTTGGAATATTCCATCTTCGATAAAATCCTCCAGCAATAGCTCTCCACATTTCTGTTGTTGGTACTGGTAATACAAGTGGCATGAGAATTTCCCACAAAATCTGGGTTGTTTCGCTTATAATGACATGGACTGTTGCCTTTCCAATTCGAAAACCTCTCGCTATTTCTTGCATGGAACATCCTTCAGCCAAATAACTAAAATACTAAATAAAATTAGTTATTAATTAATGATAAAACTTTTGTAACTTACTGTAGTGTTATTGCTAAACGATGATCTGGTGACAGTGAACCTCCTCTTCTATCTTTCTGAAGTCTAGGTCCTACTAGATGCAACAAGTTATCAAACATTTCGGGAGCCATTCTCATAAATTTAAAGTACTGTTCTGTATCCATTTCTTTATTTAACATGTTTTGAACCAATACATGGTACAATCCTTCTTTCTGTCTCTTTCGATTCATTGGACGTGTTTTGAATTTACGCACGCGACGTGGACATCGTAAATAATACTGTGCAAATACTGCACTTGAAAGTAATAATAAACTTACAAATGTAGTTACTTTAGGCGACAGCATGTTTAACAACAACTTAATCTTAACAGGTTCTTTATTTTAGAAGATAGAAGGCACACATATAATAGTAATAGGTTATATTTTTCTTTTCACTCACCAACTCACAAATAAAATAACATTACCACAGAATAATAAACAAGTATTATGCTGTGATATTACTAGCCATGCGCGTAGTCGAATCGCTCATTGGTTAATCTTAATAAAATTAGGTTTTTTATAAACGTGTACCTATTCTTAGGACTAATACTAAGATTAGTGTAAAGGTTAATACTAAGACTAAGACTAAGTTAGGACTAATACTTTTTTATAAACCTACCATTAGCGATACAGTACCTGTCATGATAAGTAGGTGGATAAAAGTTTGACAGATGTCATAGGATTTAAATGTTAACATTAATTGATTAAAAATATTTAGTAGGTACCGAACATAGACAAAATAGATTGAACTCTAGAGGCAAGCCGGTGAAACCAACCGTCAGCCCAACCTCAGCCCAGCCAGCCTTGCGCTCTCAGTCGCTGTTAGACAATCGATGTGTTAACATTTAGTATTTTATTAAATATATTGTTTTTATTTGTGCAATCATGGGTCAGTGTATCATTGATGATTGTAATAGCAGATCTGATCGCAATAGTAATGAAATTTCATGCTTTAGGTAAGTAATAATATAAAAATATTTTATAACATTTCGACGGCATCGCGCAGCATTCTCCATCTCGCATGCACTAATTTCCAGTGTTGGCTTCATGTTTTTTAGTACCACGTTATTAACTGATGTAAATATACAGGCTCATATTATCAACCGGCTATTTACAATTAGTTTTTTTGTCACAATTGGTGTTTATTTTCATGATGGCTATTAAAAATAATTGTAAATATTGAACCCTCAACATATAATTTCAATAATAAAGATACATTAATATTAAATTACAGGTAATTAGTTACTGAATAAAATTGTATTAGGTACCCATTTTCTTGTTTTTAAGCCATTAAAAAAAAGATTGGGCGCCCTCAAAATCGTCTGTTATATGTTCTTTCCATTTTTAAGAGAAGTTTATTATTATTAATAAAAACGGCGCTAGAAATTTATCCAAAAATGCAGTGCCAATTTTAAACTTGGCAAGAGTGATAAGCAAACTGTCGTTTAAAAAAGAAAAATTACAATTTAAGAAATAGAAATGATAATATACTTTTTTAATAACTCCTATAAAAACAGTACACCCAAGCTACAGAAAAATGAAATTGTGTATCATGTATTAAAAAACTTTTTTAATGTGAATTTATTTAAAAAATATGGATAAGAACTTGTGAGGACGTATGTGAAGAGTATATGAAGTTAAAATATTTTAATTAGTGAAATCTACTAAAAGACAAATATTAAATATACTAACATTACTTAAAGGACAATAAATATTTTAAATTATTTTGTAGATTTATTTAAACAAAACATTAAAATATATTATTTTCAGAATTCCAAACTTAAAAAAAATTAGTATTTGTCATTAGTGTAAAAATACTGTTTAATCCGGACCTGATCAAAGTATGCGCGGTCAGATTACCTCACACACTTCACTTCCCCGCAATTTGGCTTCATCGGTTCCCATGCTTTGGGGTAGGAAACGTACAGTCTAGGTGCTCTTTGGTATCGAAGATAATAAGACTATTACTGAGTTCAATGGACCTTCACGTTGAAATTAACTATGGTTTTGCAAAGTTGATGCCAATGTGGGGCATTGAATTAACAGTACTGATGGAGTAGCCACAAGAGAAGCAGACGAAAATATATTATTGGTAACAGTAAAGAAGAAGTCAGCAGTCGTAAGCAACAAGATGATGAGAGCATCCAATTACCTACAGTATAATTCTCATGTAAAAGAAATAGGGCACGCTGTAAATGAGATAATAAAAATTTATAATTCTATGCAACAAATGTTAGAAACAATTTTTGTCAAAATATAATAATAAAATCAACAAGTACTTGAGAGTTCAGCTGCAACTTGAGCTGTGGCTAAACGTGATATCTTTGAGACATTTGTAAATTTTGATAAAACATGGATAGAGACATAATGGATTTCGGAAGAGAAACGAACATTGCTTACAATTAGGAAAGTTCAATATGGAATCTATGGAACGGGGCTGCAAACAGACTATATTCAAAAATTATTATTTAATGAAAATGATTATTTGTCGGAACCTTTAATTGAACGGAATTGACGACATGTACGAAACAACAATTTGACAATAGTGTTCGGTGGGGGTATAAGTAATAAACAATGGGTTATTCGTGACATAAACAAAATTGAAAAATAATTATGAGAGAAGGATGAAATAAAGAAAACCAAAACATTTATTCCTAAAAAATCCCATCTTTAGTCAAACAATGCTCTTCGGTACCAAAAAGCTAGATATACAAAAGATATATAAACATCATAGACAAGATTTCTAATTGTTGATATTGCGGGAAACAATGACTTTATGGACTGCATACCCCAACTAGGAACCTCTGTGAGGTTCGATATATTATGCATACCTAGATTTTTTGTATCAAAGAACATTGTTCGACTTATTTAAGAGGATTTTTAGGAAAACATTTTTTTTAATTTATTTCAATTAGCCCAGTATCTTTACAACTGAATATTAATTTAATTTGTTAATTTGTTAATATCTATACAGAGTTATTTGATTATTACTATGCTACATTATTCCTTAAAATTAAAACGAACTAAACGATATTTATAAAAGTTATAACATTATACTACAGGAGTACTTTTTTTTAATTTAGAAAAGTATAATTAATATTGAACTAATTTTAGGTTACTTATTTATTTGAAAGAGGGGTAATAATGTAACGAACCTCGCCTATCATGAGCAGAAATATAAGGAGGTGGCAGGGGAGATTGATAGATATTTTGTACAAAGATAATAAGATTATTATTGAATTCAGTGTCAGTCATACACATTTTAAATTGTTTGTTACTGAATTAAATGTGAAACCCACGGACAACTGCAAACATTTAGAATTCTATTTTGATGATTAGCTCAGGTTTGCTAAACACATTAAATTTTTAATACAAAAAATTTATGCTAAATTATTTATCTTCTGCAGTTAAAGTTATGTGATTCCTTGATTTTGAGTAGCATTGCATATATTGTGATATCGTTTATTGGATCGGCATGTCACGAGACATATTATTTGTCAAACGTAAGTAAAATAAATAAATAAATATAAATATTATTGAATTTAATTTCTTCACTACGCATACCGTTATAACATATTGACCTAAAATTTAGCAACCAGTTCAGTAGTACCTAAGTGTTCATTCAAATTAAAAACAATGCGGAGCAAAACGCAACATGTCACTGTTCATTATTTTTTTATTACTTGTATTTTAAGTATTTTACAATTCTTAAAATAGGATGCAAAATGCAACAAGATCTTAGATATTATATAAAATGTACAAAATTGATTCATAACCTTTAGTTCAAGTTACCATATATTAAGTTTAAACTGTTCGTGTTTAGTTTATTATATTTTACTTTTTGTATATAAGTTTTGTGTAAATTTGTTACGCACAGTGTAAAGTATTTATCGAAAATTTATATGTGAACGCGAAACTGTACGTGACTTTATTCACTAAGTAGAATTTGACGAAGCTACCTCTACTTCTACATATTTATCTCTAGATAATCGATAGACCGAAAAAAGGGTAACCATTACAATCGCGTGAAAAATTTCATAACTCCTTCAGATAGTATTAAAAATATATACATATACATAGGTTAATAGATAATAAAGAAACAGCAGAAGTAAATGCATGCTAGGAAATTAAAAGTGTTAATAAAGATTTACTCATTTTCATGAAAATTCTATTTTTTATCTCACTGAAATAGGTAATCTAAGTACCTATGGAGTAAAATAACTTTAAGTATAAGAAGAAAATATCAAATTTAAAAACATATTTTTAAGTAGATATTTTTCAGTATTCATTTCAGCATTTATTTGTCATGTACCTATGTGTTTGTTTTTTTTTACTGTATAGTGTTTATGGGCAAATTACAATTTTATTATAGTTTTCACCCTTAGAAACTGTACCAATTTTTAGTGATGAAAACGAAGATAAAACTACTGTTATATCAAACTGAATAAATACAAACAATTAAATGAAGCATAAATTACATATTTATCTTAAATAACTTAAAATGAAATGAAATTGTCTGTTGTATCTGGTCCTGTTATGTTATTTTCAGTATTACGTATATTTCCAATTGACGTTGGCTGTGTGGGGATGCAGAGAAATATAAATAAAAACAATAATTATTTGTTCCTGGTACTGTTCAATTATTTTCTATAAAAGAAACAGAAATTTTTCCAGATAAAAAATTTGCTAATTGCTAGCTGAAAATTAACAGTTATGGATAACAATTACAGAACAAGTTCCTGTAATGTTATATTTTATTTGTTTGTAAAAAGCAGATACACAAAACATACATACCATTACATCTACTTTTAGTCAATTTTGTAAACTAATTTTTCAATACAACCAAATAGTGTAAAATTCTAAAAATCGACCGACACCAGTTCACTCGTCAAAAGTTTACGTAAAAATGCACACTATTGTTATTCGTTATTTTGATACCACATACAATGTGTACCAATAAGACTAAAGCAATCTTTAAGGGACAATTAGTTCTTTTCTACAGAGCAAACAAAACGAGCAAAACAAAAACATCCCTTTCTAAATTTATTCTTACCTAAGGACAATGGTAAAACAAATATTCAAGAAACATTGTA